GGAGCTGAAACCAGACACACACACACACACACACACACACACACACACACACCAGGAAAACAAACACAAACACAAACATCAGCAAGACGCACACAAACAATCCAATATGAACACACACACAGACACACACACACACAGATGTAACCTGAGCCAGTGCGACAACTGATAGCTCTGTTTGTGCATGCTAGACAATCACACACACACACACACACACACACACACACACACACACACACCTCAGCCAGAAGGCAAAACTACTGACCGAGTGTGTGTCGGTGTGGGTGTGTGTTTTACAAACCACTGTGCTCCATTAACAGAACTTAATGCTCCATGTAAAAGAATGAAAAACACCAAATTGATGAAAGGAGCTCACGCTGAGTGTGTGTGAAGCCGCAATGCTTCGGCAAAACAAAACGACTTTGCTCCCCGCGTGTCACAAACAATACGACCTCCATCATCGGTGTGTGTGTGTGTGTGTCTGAGTGGGCTCCAACAGCCTGCCGTGATAAGGGGAGCCCAGAATAACACTCTCGACATCAGCAACCCTCCCTCCTGTCACTCACTATCGATTCTCTCACACACACACACACACACACACACACACACACACACAACATGGAGGTGACAAGAAAGCAGAATCTTCCTCACAAAACAAAATCATCTGCAGAACAAACCTGTCTGCATGAATATTCATTTTTACACTCAAGGAAACCATGTTTATTTGTACTTCTAGAGGTACTTTGGAATACTGCAGGAGGTATGTGGGACTATTTTTCAAATAGCAAAGTACATATGTATTAGTCATGCATAGTTACTAAAATATAGAACATCTAAGTAGTGCAATAAAGAATGTAAATAGGAGTTGGATAAACCACATTTTTACAGTCAATATTCCGCTTTTCAATGCAACAATCATGTATTCTTTCTACCCAAAAAACTTTCTGCAGCACGTCAGCTGGGTTCTCACAAGATCACGCGTGATTTGCAGGATCACATATCTCAGTAAAAAATCCGTCTCGTCAGGCCTTAAGTGATGCGATTGTGTCCACGGAACTCTCCGACACCTTTAGCCAACCGGCCAATCACGATCACTTGGCGCAGTGATTGGTCGAGAGGAGAGAAGGGTTCTCTGCTTTTTTATTTTTTTCCACACGACTGCAACCAAGTGTAACGTCATGACGGCCTTCGAGGAGACGCTGATAGCGCGTCGTTATCACCATAAAAACTCTCGGCTTTAGACGCGGTACAATACCCAAATACTCCAGCACCAAATGTGGAATAATCCGCCGATGAAACTAGTCCGGGCGTAGTTTGGTTTGGTCAGAAGTTGGTGCAATAAACTACACATCTGTAATCTTGGTCATCTAAACATCTACGAGAGACAAATACGGAGAGAGATCTTCAGGGAATTAGTTCCATTTGGGTTTTAACTTTCACGTCACTTAGTAGGCTATTAGTCGTGTTTCATGTTGTCCAGACACCAAGAAAACATAAATATGTATCAGAGAATACGCCAACAGCAGCAACATCTGATGAGTTACATGCTTGCTACGTCAGAAATCATTCGGCGAAGACGTTTCCATAATCCGCTTAGTGCATCAACTCGTTTTGGACAAACGCAAAAAAACACTTCAAAATGAGCGTAAAAAAAGCAAGCGAGTAAGTTTGATACAATGTTGCTGTTTCCGTGCAGCTTTCGTTACACGATACCTTATAATGTGCATGAAAAATATCTGAATATAGAAGTTCAAATGTCCCTCTTAATTTCTACGTGAATTAATAAAGTTGTGTCGTCACCTCCTGATAAACGGAGAGAAATAAAGAATAACTGAGATCTTCTTCTTCATCTCAAATAATAATATTTAAGGATGTGTTCACATTGTAAAGCACTCGTTATACTTCCAGCGGTGAGAAGTACGTTTACTCAACTAATGAGAGTACAAGTTCAGAGGGAAGCGTTGTACTTCTTATTGCACAACATTCATCTGACAGCTGGACTCACTTTACAGATTCATATTTTATGATCAGTTTATAGAATATATATATATATATATATAACTCTCTGAAAGGGATCCAAGAAGTACTTTTACTTTAACACTTTAAGTGCATTTTGCAGTTTGTACTTTTACTCTAAAGTATTCTTTAACATTTCCGTTGTTTCTATTAAAGCTAAAAAGAAAAGAAAGCTTTGAAAGAGCAGACGCTAAAGAGCACTTTAAATAAAACAAGCGATTTTAATAAGTTGACATATAGTGGAGTATTGAGCTAAACGGAGGACGTAAGCGGTCGTTGCTTTTACACAAAGAAACACAAACGCACACATTCGGTTACCGAGAAGACAAAGTATGCACAACACCAGTGGGAGGTTTCTCTCTTTTTTAAAGCATTTCATTTTTCCTTTCTTTTCCCAGAGAGGTACGTAGAGAGAGGGGGGCAGGGAGGGAGGGTGAGAGAGTGAGAGAGTGAGGCATTAGAGGAATGCCAATATGATTGGAGGCAGAGAGGAGTGTGTGTTCGCTGTGCGTTCAACAACAATAGCTCTCCAGCCGTGTTGTTCCAATGCACATCCACATGATCTGTTATCGGCCCCGACACGCACCGCTGGGGGAGAGCGAGGGAGACGGACGGAGTGATTGAGACGAAGAGACAGAGATGGGGGGGACACGAAGAAGGGGAGACAATTAAAGACAGAAATACTCTGCTTGATAGGTGTGAGAGATGAGGAGGTGGGGGGAGAAAGTGGGTGATAAAAAGAGACAAAAATAGCGATAGAAATACTCTGCAAGAACAGGGAGGTGACTTCAAGCTTAATAAACTCCAGCGTGTGTGTGTGTGTGTGTGTGTGTGTGTGTGGTCAGCTAAAAAAAAAAAAAACAGAGGTCACTCTCCAACAATCCAGTGACTCCACAGCAACACAAGACACTGTTAATAATCAGCCGATGCTGAACAACCATCACTCGCGAAGGCGTCCAACGTGTCGTTCAACATCTCGATGCTAACATTTGCAACAAAAACAGAGTTCAGGTTTTCGTTTGTGCTGCACAGGTACGGCCTCATGTAGAAGTGGAGTTTCATAGTGAAGAGACGTGTTGAGGAACAGAGGATCTGGATCATCTCGTTAACATCTCGGTCCTCAACACGTCGTGTTTGTTTGGAGCGCGCTTCAAAATGGTGGAGATCCAAAACGGATGCACGGGACGCAACTTCAGAGATTTAATCTGATGGGACGGTTTAACGGAAAGAAGGAGCAGGTACAGTAAGTCCACACACACACACACACACACACACACACACACACACACACACACACAC